AGGTAACAGTCTACAAACTTTAGATTCATCAAAAAAGCCGGTACGAAAACGCCGATGGTTAGTAAGACTACGGCGAAGAAGCATAAGCCAGTGATTCACTTGTAGTAGAGACAACTGTAACAATGGTCAGTACGCATCGAGGGACGGTTCAACTAACCTTCAGTAGCCCACCATCTAGTCAGATTCTGAATGGAACACTGAGATAAAGCCGTAGCTGAGAAGGCTGTAAGTAACCTGAAAGGAGAAATGGCAGATCCAAGATGGGTTAGTACTGACGGTATTCAAGGATGGTGATCGCAGATTATTAGTCAAGTGAACTGTTAGCTAGCAAACGGGAATCAGAAACGACGCCTGCTGACTTCTCTCAGCCTCTGACTGTCCCAGTCTTTAAGAAGAAGACAAAATCCTCTTGTGATAACTATAGGAGAAACAGTTTCACGAACATAGTGTCTAAGATTCCAGGTTATACAATTATTATCATAAGAATACAAACGTGGTACAGCAATGGCACCAAAAAATGCACCACACAAAATAATATAACATAAAGAGACGGCAAGTGGATAGATAAGAAAGAAAAACAGTAAAAATAGAATGATTAGAAGGGTAGTCCAGTAGTATACATTCAAAACAAAACATCCATTACATTTCAGAGGCAGAAGATAGAAGGAAGATACAGTATCACTGCCACTGGTTTCGATTTTGAGTCATATCTGATAACGTCCCAAGCCACTGAGTTGCATGATCTCTTGGACAGGGAGTAGTGATGCACCAACAGATGATAACCCAATACAACTATCCTTCATCCCACGGCGTCACGTGAAACACTGACCACCCTTCCACTTTTCTCATTCAGTTCTAGGCCCAGGGCTTGCAAACAATGAACGGTAAGGAAGCCGTTGGGACGACATGCATAACACATGTCCGAGACACCGAGGCCGGTGTTTCAAGTTGACTTCACTTATCGCATGATGATCTCCAGCATGCCTAAACACACGCTATCGTACCGTAGAATTACTTACATTGTGCTGCTACCGGATACGAGAAATCCTACGAAGATAACGGTGGTCGGACCCGCAGAGTCACGACACATCCTCATTTCATGGAGGTCACGTTTGACAGGCACAGAGCAGAACTGCTCGCACCAGAGCCTTGCAAATCCGACCTTTAACGGTCAGACTGACGTCGTGGCGGAACCAAAGGTGGCTCAGGTTCGCATTAGCCACTTTCACTTTCGATATGCGGTTGGAAATTTCATCACACTACTACCCAGATATATGAAGTTTTCGACTACTTCCGACGGCTTACCTGGAATCTCAGACACTATGTTCGTTAAAATGATTCCCAATGGTTTTATGATTAGATGTCTAAGTGGAGCTTGCAAACAGCCAACCTGAGTAAACCAGACAAGGTGTCGGACGGACGGATAGATAAATAAATATAGAACCTCTCACAGAGGTAACGCACTTTGAGTTACCATACTTCAAGGTAGTAAACAAAGAACAAGTGGATAGAAAAACATTGATACGAAAGACAAAAGTGTATGGGAGGAGAAAGGATTTAAAGACGAATGTCAGTGAAAATGTTCGAGCTTGAGAAGACGTCAGAGAGTGAATACATCCGGCCCATTGTGACTGACTTTCACCCACGTCACTAAGGGTCTAAAGCATACATTCCTATGACCTCGATGACTCCAGATAGGCGAACAGCACCACCCTATACTGTTCAGACCAACAATCAGAGATCTCATGGACTGATACCATGTCATGGTCTGGTCGCCCTGAGTTCTTCTTTAACCTAATCTAACTTCTCCCAGCATTGCAGGGTGCACTAACTAGATATTCACCCTACACCAGGTTCTGAGACACAGGCACACTTGGTGTGGCAGTATCTCACTGAAAAGGGTATCGGGTAAGTACAACACACTATTGAAGGCTATGTACTCAATCACCCATAGGCGTGTGGGAGCCTATGTTGAGCTTTCTGGTGAGTTGTTTAAGTCACATGATGTCCTTCAAGGATATCTATTTTCTCCATTGTTACTGAACCCTGCAATAAACTTACTTATGGAGTTCCCTTGACGTTACAGTATGATGACACCAATAAGATGCAGAGTGGAAAATTTGACAATGTTTCAGATGCCATTCTGATCAACCAAAAAGAAACTGCTGTTCCAGGACTGGTCTTCGTTGATACTTTACATAACAAGAGGTATAGTGGTTGAGCGCGTTGACCGCTCCACCTACTTGGGAAGTCGGATCAACTCTGGTGAGTCAGTAACCGACGACACCTCAGAACAGATACAAAAGACTTTCTTGGCCTTCATCAACTTAAGTCAGTTGTGCCGCCGATGTGATATTCTACACCCTGCTAAGGGTCGAGTGTACTGCATTACAACTCACTGTTTTATTAAGTAGCTAAAACGTAGCCATCAAAGAGAGAGGGAATGAGATGGCTTCAAGTGTTCGACCACCGTTGGCTTTATGACATAGATTGTGTCGTGGTGCTACTACATCAGTAACATAGAAGGCGTAGATTTTTGACAAGAAGAGAAAAGTAATTCGAGGACGCTGTGAACCTTTATCGACTCGGATAACCGGAAGATGTGCTACGCATATCCAATTACCGTTTGTGTCGTTGCACAATGTTGCCTGAAATAGGTTCAGGTTAGAAAATGGTTAGAGGGGCAGACTAAGACATGGAATCAGCCTTTGAGGTCATGACTGCTGGTCTAAAACGCGTGCGCAGATGTAAACTTCCCAGTTGCGGTCCTCATGAGAGGGAAAACTGGTGGTCAGAGGATCTAGTTTAAATAGCTCAGGACAGATGTCATTGGTGAAGACGTTCACAAAAATTATCTTGATCTTCATCGCGACACTGAATTCTAGTGCTTTTTTATTCTGCCTCGTTCGTTCAACAATTTTCTACAACCTGCTTAACTCCACATCCTAAATCAATGCATTAAATCTTGATGTGCTGATCTGAGGTGTGGCAACTTGAACTGACAACCAGTAATGCTATGTCCCATGTCCATATTGACTGACTGTATCTCGAGTCATGCCACTATCGTTTTACAGCCGACTGAAGAAACTAAGCCTATTTTCACGCAAACAAACATGAGGGCTAACACCTATGTGGAGGTTAAAACTGGAACAATTCACATCAGCACATTAAGGAGAGCCAATAAAACATACGTCCACCCTAACTGAGCATTATGACTGGAGTTTGCGATGGTTGGTTTTGTGTAACAGATTAGTCGATGTAGGTTCATACCTTCGTCGAATGTTTTGTGTGTTGAGAATGAAGTCATTACCGCTCCTTTCATGGTTTTATCATGTTTGAATGATGCTTGAAGAGCGTCTGTGGTTATATATTTCTAATACATTCACACCATCCACTTTAGGTGATTTCATTTTGAGCCATATGGTAAAAGAGGTCATTTATGTGTTTCATCCTAAGATAAATGATTGGTATAACACTCACAATCACTCCCTTTTAGTGGGTCCAATAAAATCAATACAGTTCTAACTTGCTGTTGTATATGATCCTAGGAGCCTCCAACTTTATGGGGATTGCCATACTCCCAAAAATACACGTGATTAACTCTGAGTACGTGTTAGGTGGAAACACCGACAAAATACACAGTTTTCTGAACAGCTTTGAGCGAAATTCTGAGTGTTTGGGATTCTTCTTGCACTTAGCAAATATATAATGATGCCTCTGGAATAGCCTACGCCAACTATTAATTCAAGGATAGGGGTTAAATGGTAGGAGGCGTTAACCACATCATATACTTCGGGAGTTACATCAACCTCAATGGTTCGGTTTTCGATGAAATCCCATCTCCGATACATATGGCTCCCTCGGTATTGGCTAGCTTACTTCGTTTCTGACCCTAGCCAGTTATGCAACTATCCTCTAAAGAGAGATTTTAGCGTACGCCAGTCCGCCCTGTCCCTTTTACACGAATGAAACGTATGTTGAAAGTAGATGTTAGGTAGTTACAGACATTTGACTACAGGCGTTTTCATAACACTACATGTAGTGAGATTTATGTACTGGCGACTTCAAGATTAAGTGAAGGTTACTGAGCAAGGGAGATAGATCATTCAAGAAGGTTGTGAACCTCCATCGATAGAGGTGGTTCCGATATATTTTTATTACGCTGACCCACCACGTACCTGGACGTCCAATGCTGGCTGAAGTTGGATTGGGTTGGAAAAAGGCTAAGGGTGGCCAGACCAAGACATTTCACATTCCCATGCAGTTGGTGACTATTGGTCTGAGCTGTATAGGGAGGTTCAGACCAAATGGATGGAGTCCTCGAGGAAACGGTAATGAATGGTTAACTGACATGGATGAGAATCAGTTACAATGATGCAGATGTACACATTGTGACGTTTCTGAAAGGTTGGACGTTTCCACTACCCTTCATTCATTTACTCTCCTTTCTTTTATCGACTTCTGCTGAGGTACGATAGCTTCAACCGATGCGCTTCAGTCCCGAGTATTACGTTGGTTTCTTGTTTTTGTATGTCTTGCACTCAGCAACGTCATGTTGCTAGTGTTTTCACCACACTAGCAAGAGAAGAATCACTATTTTTTTATGCGTATTATTCTTAGGCACATCCTGATTTATTTTGCTTCTCCTAGTAACACTCATCGTTATTTACACTGCAAACTGACTTTATCAATGATATTATAACTCGTTAAAATTTGAGAAGTTTGTGCATCTCTGAATTCTTAGACCAGTTTGTTTTCTTGACGTCCCTTATTTTACTTTGTCGCAGTTCATTCGATCACCACCAAAACCTGAATACCATCACATCTATAGCGGGCGAGTTAACTTTTAGTGTACTTGACTTTTATTTTTCAGAGATATGACAATGGAGTTCGCGATAGTCGTACTACTTTGACAAAAAATGAGTAAACAAGTGAAAAGACCAATTTTTTGTGCAATCATGAATGAAGAGAACAAAACAAAGCTTTTGAAAGTAACTCACTTTAGACAATCTCCTGGACCTAGATCCGCCCATCTCCACGCTTTGCAAACAGCAAGGAGGAGATCAATCCAATAAACAGAATGCTTGGGTCCCATCCCATTTGTTGGTGTGATATCTCGCCTCAGCCACTTTGACCAGGATGCCCCGAAATTTGAACCACTCAATCCAATTCCATGCCTAGAAGTTGACTGAAAGTGACTTGAATTGCTCAAACAATGGCATTTGCTGCATTGACATAACGATTCCATAACCTCTGAGCTACTGTACACACAATCAGGTAGATTCAACATGCTACCCTGAACATGACTTAATTTGGAGAGGTTGTTCTCAGGTTTCATGAAATTAAAATAACTCTCATGGCCGAACTTTAGAGCAGAATCAAGAGCAAGAATACCATCGGGTGACAGTGTATATAAAAATGCACTTATAATATGGAGCAATGAGAGATCTCCAACAAATACAGAATACAGTTCACCATGTTGCAGGTCATTACTAGACTCATCAGATGGATGTTTGAAGACGCGAGCAGAACTTCCTACACCCGATTTCCTGAGTGGAACATCATGGCAGAAACCTTTCCTCGCAATATTCAAGAAAAATACCAAAACTTCATCAAAAGAATAGTCATGTGTGTTCAGAACATCATTAGTCGGCATTTCAACAAAAGTGGACATATTTTCTAGCACTATTGCCTGAACTGTGACTGAATCAGTGACCAAAGATATTATTCTTTCTCTTGCTCTGCTAACACGTCTGGACTTCACAATTTTGCGGATCATCAACCAGCTTCGTTACCGCGTTCCATAGACAATAACCATTTTAGGTCTCGGCCTAAGTTAACCTTTCCAAACACAGCGCACTTTTTATGACCTTTAGCTAACTGTTGAAAATTGCACACTTTAACAAATAGCACAAGAGAATTAAACTTTGAATCGTCTAAATAACGGATGCTAACTAGAAATAAGACTTTCGTTTTGGGAGAAACAGTTCACAGGTCTGCATTAGCTTTTTTCGAAAGGCTGCCAGCAGTGTAAATAGACTGTAGCGTAACACACTTCCCCAAAATCAATAACCTAGGGTTTGACGAGATTCAACATTGGTGCTGACCCTGATAGTTCAACTGAACTCGCTGAGCTGAAGACACCCGATCAAGCATCCACGCCATTTAGCACGCTGTCGTGTTACGTTGCACTGCTCGTATTCGACTCACTGGCCAGTTAGTTGGAACGCATGGGTATCTTGGCACAACCACCCAAATATACTATTCCATCCGACTAGGCCATTGTGTTCTTTAGTCTCGTATTCGTGGGCATGTGAAAAATCTGAATAATTAGTGATTGATCTCTGTGTCTGTCAAGTTCGCAGCAGGACAATTCCTAAATTGGTGAGCCCGACGTGATCACATATCCCGACCAATAACAAGTGTTGAAATGGTGAGCCCCTTCCATTTTATACTCGTATATTGTTCTCATTTTGATAATTTTCATATGTCTATATGCAGCTCTTTCTCATGTCCAACCACACTCCCAAGCTTATCCGTATTAAGCCGACTTCGTACACATTCCAACTCGTGACATATTGGCCAGACAATGCAGAAACATGGTTTCTGCATGCCGGGGCAGATTTTCGAGAATAGGGAGTTGCAGATCCTCATCCTCAGTCTCTCGCCGTCATCCATTTACCACAGCGGGAATTAAACCGGCATGCTACAGTACACATGTTTAGTCCCAAAGTAAGTAATCCTTATGCACTTCTCAAAGCCGCACCCTTGAAGAAAAGCGATCTCACAGATCGCCAGCGCCTAGACGAACTGCTTCGTAACATCGAGCTAGGCGGCCACTTAACTACCGAAGTCCTTGCAAGCATGCGAGAAGTTGTCGGCGCACAAACACTCGACAATGGCCTTTTCCGGGGACCATTTCTCTAGAAACTACCACAACCGGTGCAAACCGCGTTAGTGACACTTCAGTCAGCCCCACTCGATGACCCGGCATCCTCATCAGATAAAATACTAGAGATCTCTAGCAGACCCGTCTCCAACGTATATTCTGTCTGCGACAAACCAGAGAGCCAGGATTCAGAGGTGACCAAGCTGTGTAACTCTGTTAAACAGCTGCTACGAACTCGAAGTACCTGGTTACGTAGCACTACACAGAAACGCATCTTAGCGCCTCGTAGCAACGGGCATGGTTGTCAAAAAACTAAACCTAACGGGGTGGAAAACCCCGAATGGTGCTGGTTCCATATTACTTACGGAGACGAAGCCAAAAATGCTGGAAGTCACGCAGTTTTAACAAGGACACAAACTCGGGAAACTGTCATGCTGGCACTCGTTCCCGGCAACCGCAGCCGGCGGAATCAACCGCTTGCTCTACGTCACGGATGTTAAAACGAGAGTTCGCTATCTCGTCGACACCGGTGCAGAAGTTAGCGTTCTTCCCGTACCGACAACGGAGCGTCATCATGGCCCAGCCTTTGATCTCCAAGCAGCTGACGGCAAGGCGCTCGTGACATTTGGGAGACTTTATGTCTACCTCAACTTAGGTTTACGTAAACCTATTCACTGGATTTTCCTCCCTGCGGAAGTTTCTATTCCCATCACTGCCGTAGATTTGCCAAACCATTACGATTAACTCGTCGATGCTCGTCGTTGACGTCTGATAGGTAACAACGCAAAGTTGTCTATTGGCGGCATAACCTACGTAGGTCCAAGTTTGGCCATCCTTAGAACCAAACAATCAGGTGACGCTTCCTATGAGGTAGTGCCAGAGAAATATCCAGAGTTGCAACAACTGAAGCATACTCTTCCGTGCATAACCAGCAATGTTATACATCACGTCACAACCACAGGTCCACCTGTGGCATCCAAAGCATGGCGTCTAGCCCCGATAAGCTCAAAACAGCGAAGGGTGAATTCGACCATATGCGCGAACTGGGCATTATCAGACTGTCAAACAGTCCTTGGGCATCGCTATTGCACATGGATCCCAAAAAGGATAGCAACGACTGGCGTCCAACCGGTGATTACCGAAGGCTTAACGCCAAAACAACTCCAGACTGCTACCCGATACCTCACGTTTACGATTTGACCGCAACCTTATGTGGAATGAACATTTTCTCCAAAATCGATTTGGTCAAAGCGTACAACCAGATACCTATGGCAGCAGAAGATATTGCGAAAACAGCCATTATTACTCCTTTTGGCCTGTTTGAATTCCTGCGCATGCCATTTGGTCTTCGGAATGCAGCACAAACATTCCAAAGCTTTATGGATGATGTCTTCCGTGGTTTGAATTTTGTTCATGTCTACATCGATGACTGTCTAATTGCGAGTCCAGATAAGGAAACTCACCTCAAACATTTGGACCTCGCATTCGAAAGACTTAAAAAACATGGCATCACAGTCAACTTACAGAAGTGTGAAGTGGGAGTTGAATCACTCAGCTTCCTTGGGCATACCATTGACAACAAAGGTATACGCCCATTGAGAGATAAAGTGGCGGCTATCACAAACTATCCAGAGCCGACCACTGTGAAACATCTCAGCACTTTCAATGGCCTGATAAGTTATTATCAAAGGTTTATACCCAACTGTGCCTCTGCCATGAGACCACTCACAGATCTACTTTGAGGGACTACGAAGTGCGTGACTCTGGACAACGTGGCTGAACTTGTTTTCTCCAAAGTCGTGGAAGCTACTTCGAAGGCAACCATGCTTATGCATCACGACCCCAATGCTCCTCTGAGTATTGCTGTTGATGCATCTGACTCAGCAATCGGAGCCGTTTTGCGACAGTTGACTAACAACCATTGGCAACCGTTAGCCTTTTCCTGAGTCAGCTGCAAAACGCGGAAACAAGATACAGTACACTTGGTTGGGAACTCTTAGCTATGTATTCTTCCGTACGCCGTTTTCGACACTCGGTGGAGGGTCGTGATCTCATTATTTTCACAGACCACAAACCGTTGACCTTTTCTCTTAGCTGGGCACCTGACGAATACTCCCCTCGTGAGTCACGACTGATGGATTACATTTCACAGTTCACGTCAGACATCCGCCACATTTCTGGAGCAAAACAACTCCGTAGCCGATGCACTATCTCGAATAGCTTTGATAAACCACATCGAGGACTTCGATCTAGTTGAACTATCTCGGTGTAAAAAAAGACCTTGAGCCGCATCATGAGTTGTCATCCACAACTCTCAAGGTGCGATTGCTCCAGTAGGATCAGACAAGGATACAATTTTGCGCGATGTCTTTGCTAGTCAACCATGCCAAATAGTTGCGGAGCGATGTCGACGCAACGCCTCCAATATGTTGTCTCATCCAGGTGTACGAGCCGCTATCAGGCCTATTGCACAACGTTTCTACTGGCCTAGGGTGAACAAAGACGTTGAGGAGTGGGCTCGGTCTTGTTTAGCTTGTCAGAAATGCAAGGTTACGCGACACACGAAAAGCCCTTTAGGCTCTTTTCTAGCCCCAGACATGCGTTTCGACCACGTCCATATAGATATTGCAGAACTCCTACCAGAATCAAATGGATGTGCTTACCTTTTCACTCGCTTGGATCGTTTCACACGATGGGTGGAAGCAGTACCTACTAAGGACATTACTGCTGAGACAGTAGCTCGTGTTTTCGTGGAAAGATGGATCGCGAATTTTGGATATTCATCCTACGTCAAGACCGACTGTGGGCACCAATTCGAGTGTGGACTATTCCACTCTCTAACTGCAATTTTAGGTTGCACTCGATTCCGAACGACAGCCTACCATCCACAAGCAAATAGCGTGGTACAGCGTTTCCATTGACAGCTGAAAGCTTCCCTTTCAGCCGCAAACATACTTCAGTGGACCGAGGCTCTGCCTTGAAAGTTGATGCTGGATGCACCCCTGCAGAACTCGTCTATGGGACCGCTCTTCATTTACCAGGTGAATTTGTTCCCTCTTCGCCAACTACTCCATGGGCGATTGCGTAATCAGTCAGGCGTTGGTAGAATATGCTTAAGAACTAAGCATCCCTTGATTGCCATGTGCCACTGCCACAAACGAGTGGTAGCGGAAGTGACTGTCGTGATCCACGTTACAGGGCTGTAGCTCGAGTTACTTACTCTAAGATTATCTCTCATTCACTTCCAAACTCAGGTCAAACTGCGGTTAGAAGTTTTAAACGTGTTGATGTGGGACCAAAATCGTTTCCGGGCCTACAGAAGAGAGAAAGAGTCAGCTGTCTGACTAGCGGCAAAAAGCAAACATCGCCTAGAGGAACTCAGTAGGTTCCTTTCGGATTACTGTGTGAAAAGAGTTAGTCTCGTCACCGCTTCAAACTTATTCATCAGGTAAACGGGCGTAGTAAGGCAGCGCCACAAATCTAGAAGAAAACGTAATGCAGGAATGTCAGTCATATACCACAACGGAGGGTCAGTCATGTACCACAACGGAAGATCAGCCCTAAGATAGCTCCGAATTCTCCCATATCGCAGGGTTTCCGCTACCAAATTTGCGACACTTACTCCTCAGTCAACTACTTCGAAAGATTTTGTAGCGATAACGGGGTAAACGTTGCTTATTTCCAACACACGCTGGTGACAGTAGACCACTTACTTGTCTTTACTTTTCCACCTTTTTGGATTGTTATGATTAGCCAAGCTTCCACCTCAATCCCAGTTTAAATTGCTTTCTTTCGTCAGTTTTTCTACTTTGTTTTGTGTATTCACATGCACGCAACAAGTCAAAGCTTACTTGTCTAGGACTGGCCGTTTAAAATGCATCCATAACAATACGTTTAAACACTTATTTTCGGTTATTCACACACGCCGGAAACGAAAAATGCCTATCTACCTTGTCAGAAACGTCTAAGCCCTCACAA